CTCACGTCCCTTTCTGGGAAGGAATTTCCTCAATATCCAATCTAACCCTCCCCTGGCACAACTTGTCCTGTCATTTGTCATCTGGGAGAAGAGACTGACCCCCACCCTCTCTGCGCCTCCCTTTCAGGGAGCTGTAGGGAGCGATAAGGTCTCCCTGAGCCTCCTCTTCTCCAGGCTGAACCCCCCCCAGCTCCCTCAGCTGCTCCCCACAGGAATTGTGCTCCAGACCCTTCGCCAGCTCCGTTCCTTTCTCTGGACCTGCTCCAGTTTTATTTGGGGAAAGAATCTCATCTAATATTTATAAACACCCTTGTTTAAATCTGACCTGGGTGCCACATTCTCCTGGGCTTCTTTAAGCACTGATCCTTTTTTATCATTTTTGGGTCATGGTAAGTCTGTGTAGCTGAGGTTCCAGAAGGGCATTTGCTTACAGCCCTTATGTAGGCGAGTCACACAGGTTGCTGAAGGTAGAAAAAAGTAAAGGGTTTCTGTGGATCCAGTGGTCTTTTCCTCCTTCCTATTTCATAGTGAGAATTACCTCATCCCACACCTGAAGCAGAGATAATTCTGCATTTAAAATATTCCAGAGAGTTTCAGGGACATTCGTTCCTGGGCTGCATTGAACCAGCAGACCAAGTTCTTCAGTCTGTCTGATTTTTTGCATTTAGTGTTGCTCAGGTATGTCAGAGTGGTTTTTACCCCGTGAAAGCATTTGGCAGAGACAGAGAGGGGTCTCTGGGGGCAGATCAGCTCTGAAAAATCCGGCCGGAAGGCACAGGGATCTGCTTGTGAACTTCACCTCTGCATTAGTTCTTCTGCAGCAGCTGTAGGGATTGTATGGGAACCAGAGCCTTAACCAATTCAGTGTTAGCCAGTCAGAAATAAGAGGGGAAATGCATTTTAACATCAGTGCTCCTTTCCCATGGAAAAAAAAAAAAAAGGTTTTTTTTAGCAAGTTGTCATGGGTTGATAGGCTGCTTCTTTCTTTCTCAGAGTTTAAGGTCACTCACCTTAGGCCACTGGCAGATTTTAATGATTGCTGGCAAGTTGTCTGGCTGCTTTCAGGCTTCCTCATCAGCGAGCTGCTTGGCATCGGTCCTCCCAGACATCTGCTAGCTCTTGCGCAGGGTGACGAGGCTGTCCCGCTGCTGCGTGGGCATGTGGAACTGGGTCACCACTGAGGGATTCGCCATGACTTGGAGGCATAAACAACAATACTGAATGTGGCATTTTACATAGGAGGCTTTAAAATAAAAATCTGTTGTTCCTGCTGGCCCAGCCCGGTCAGTCTGTCTTGTCTTTAGTTTTTTGGAAAGAGAACTCTCGGTTCAGTCAAACCTGTGAACTGTAAAAATAATGCAATAAATTATTTGTTATTTGAACATTTTTTTTAAAGTCTATTTCCAGTTTAGTTGGACTGTGCTTATGAAACCCAATTACTTTTCAGACTTTATGAAAACAAAGGAGAAGCAGACTTCAGGGAGTCTCTGCTGCAGCTCTTTAAGTCCATCAATGAGATGATGAGCAGCATCTCCGATCAAACTGTCATAGTGAAGGTATGTACTTCCCAGGTCCCCATCTTGGCTTTGTTTTTGCATCCTAAACCATACTGAGGCGGTTGATGAAGTGTTTGTGCTTGTCCCCAAAAGCATGTTTTACCTCGGATGTGGTTTATGCTTAGTGCCTCTGATGAAGGGTTTGTGACTGTATGAGGAATGTGCTTCCAACTAGTAAGTTTACTTACACTGCTGCAAATACCTCCCTTTTATTTTTAAAAGGGAACATAGCTAGGCTTAGCTCATTTAACTTGTCTAACATCAAGGTATTTTTAAGGCGTTATCTTTAAGATGTTGGTGACAATTTAGATACTCGTATTCTTAAACACTTAATTAGATCCTAGACTGTTCAAGAACTTCACTGTAGTATCTTAAGACCTAGAAAATGGGTTTAATGGAAAATCTGTGGTAAGTCAGACAGCAGACTCCACCCCACACCCCTCTTTTTGTGTCCCTTTAAAGTGATAGTCACTTTTGGTAGCATTGGCTGGCTCATGGGATTGGGAATGTAGTCTCTGACCTCATATGAACGTGGGTATTAATATCACAGAGCAGAAGCAGTGAATTATAGGACTGGTAGGATTTGTATCCAAAGGAGTCAAAGGTCATTGTGCCAATACCAGCCTTGTGTTCTGTTAGTGACTCTCTCACCATGGAGAAGAAGAGAGACTGTCATAAACGTCAATTTGATGAGCTACACCTTGAAGTTCTCCTTGTGGATCCAAATAGATTTTATAAAAGGCTATAGCTCTTGACCTAGCCATGCTGAATCAGTTTAAAGGTAACGCACAGAAAGGAGCTAAGAATTGGGGTTGAATTTGGGGAGAACTTGACAGCATGACTCCTGCTCAGATGTGCGGTGGTTTTGCATTAGAAGAATTTTTTATAGCAGCTGGGAGGCAGACAGTGGCAAAGTACCGTGCCAGTGCAAGAGGTTCCTCTTGAAGGGAGCTGGGAAGAGTACAGCAGGAAAACACCAAAGCCAAAGGCACCTGTCCTTTGTAGGTGAGTGCATGCAGGTCTTAGGGTAGTAATACCATGCGGAGCACACAGCAAAAATAGATAGCGGGGAGAAAGCTGCTGAGTTTGAATATTTTTGGCAGAGACTGATACTGTATCATCTGATAACAACATAGGGATATTACATGTTTCAAGAAAGCTGTGTTTTCATTCCATTGAGAAAGCATCTATCCTTCATGGAAATTGGTAAGCTTGAGTCAGTGACTGAGAGTGTGCTATCTGGAGTTTTACAAATAGGATGTTTTCAGATTATGAGGATTGAATGTGAAATTTATTTTCCTGTGACTTGTTTGTGAGGCCTACTTCAGGAAAGCAGTTGAACTTGAGCTTTTTTCTTTTGCAACAGTTTATGCCTTGAGTAAAATAAATTTAAAATTATCCAGTTTTTGATTGTCCTCACATCAGATGCAGAAAAAGACGACCAACTTTCTAGCAAAGGCTGGAGAGATGCCACTACAGCAGTGTCTGAGCTGGCTTGTGCATTGTTTCCCCTTCCTGCCTCTGCAATCTTGGGGAGAGCACATCTACTGTCCGTGTTAGGCTGCAGGAAGGATGCCGGTAGATGAAGCATAGACAGATGAGCCACTGTGGGGTTGTCCGAGAAGTGTGCTTGTGCTGCCTTTCAGAAGCTTTGACAACCTTTCATTCATTATTCATTGCTTTCATCTCCTTTGGACTCTAATTACTTAGCTCTTAGAATACATAATTGTTAGTATTGGCTTTTTGCAGCTCGTGAGATTGCTTTTATTATGTTCAAATATCCACTGAAGCACTTACAGCTTTTTCGGTAACTACAAATGTGGTTCTATTACAAAGAATAAAATTATTCAATAGGGATGAATGTGGGTGTTTTTTGAGAGTGAGGCATCTGGGAGTGTTGCCTGACAAAGCTGCTGGGGTCCTGGGGGGGTGTCAGTAGCTGTGTGAATTGGACATGACATTACTCAGAAAACTGAGTGGCCTAAAAGGTGAGCTTCAGGGTAGACAAATTCCTGACAGCTGCTGAAGCACTGGCACAGGTTGCCCAGAGAATTTATGGATGCCCCATCCTTGGAAGTGTCCAAGGCCAGGCTGGATGAGGCTTGGAGCAACCTGGTCTAGTGGAAGGTGTCCCTGCCCATGGCAGGGGGGGAGGCTGGGGGGGCTTTAAGGTCCCTTCCAACCCAAACCGTTCTGTGATTCTACGTGTAAGGTGATGCACCTCGGGAAGAGCAAATCAGTCCCTGTATGATGACGTGCTTGGAGCTGGCAGTTGCAGTGTGGGAAGGACACGTTGAAATCGCAGCTGACAGCTATCTGAAGTCATCGGTTCCATGTGCCGTGGTGGGCAAAGAGGCAACAGGGTGTTGGGTGTCAGTCAGGGGATAATGAGACCATGGCAATGCGGTCATTTTGTTATTTTTTTACCCATGGTACATCTGAATTGTCTGTGCCAGGTGCTGTTTTGGTCTCCATACTGCAGGAGAGACTTACAGGGGGATGGAGAACCAGTACTGGGAATGGCTCACCTTCTTGCTGGGTGATCAGACTGTGAAAGTCTCTGTACCAAACCCCACAGAACAAGAAATAGGATGCACTCACTGATGTCAGCAGGAGGTTAGTTTGAAACAAGTAAAGACCATTTTCTCATTTCTGAAGGCTGCTGTTGCAGCTTGTAGAGGCAGACAGCATCAGCAGGCCCAGGAAGAGATTAGGCAGGTGGACACACGACGGGTCCATAGGTGTTTTCAGAGCAGAGTGGAGATGCAGCCTCTAAAGGATGCTGAGGGGACAGGAGGGGAATGAGCCACGGAAACTGGAAATGTCATCTCCTGTGGCCACTGTTGAGACAGAGTGCTGGGCTACGGGAACCACTGGGACTTTTGGAGACTTCAGGGAGGTTTTGTAGAAAACTGATGAGGATGAGCAGGTGAGTTGCTGGGTTGGTGTGTTGTGCCCTTGAAATCAGCAGATCTAGCTGTAGCAGTTTCAGGAGTTTTCTTACTATTTTTACTATATGTATGGAAGCTAAGTAGGCGTATACAAAATCAGTCTTTTTGGAGAGATAAGAAGTTGGGGGCCTACCTAAAAAATTAAGGTGCTTCACATTAAAAAAGATAGATGCTTAATTCATACATTTGAATATTTCTATTTTTCCTTGCAAAAATTGTAATCTGTCTTGATAGTTTATCACCGTGGAGCAGAACTGCCACTGGAAAAGTTTTTGGGAAACGTTCGCAACTTTTCTTTGTGCTGGTTATACTGAATTTTTTTTCCCCAGCCTATCTGTTGAGAGTGTAGCCTTCAAGCTGACACGGTGTGGGGGAGAATGAATGACTGCAGTCTGATATTCTTAGTAAGAATTACTCTTTATCTATTCAAATATTTATGTCCTTGTGGAAGCTGATGAGCTGACTGTAGCCCAGGTCTTAAGTTACTTAATATTTTGCATTTAAATTGCCCCTTTTATCTTTAATTTAAAATTTTCAAGGCTTTGGGTGCATTTAAAAAGTTGCTTCAAAAGAAAACTATGAATTGTACAAGGATTTAAAGTTGTAGAGCACAAGAGACTTTGAATTTGTAACACTCTTAGGATTATAGCTGTTGAAAATATTCTAGGAGAGGGGAGAATTTAGCTATGTGGCTGCTTTGCAAACTTCAGTTTCAGCCTTTAACGAAAAACCATGGAGAGTGTTTTCTGTGGAGGGCAAGTTAAAAGTGGCATTTAGCAGTTTCGTTGACTGTAGGTAGGGATAACTACACAGCTGTAATGAAAACTTTCTCAAGACTCAAAGGGAAAAAATAAAAAAGAGTAAACGAAAGCAAAAGCACTGTCTGTCTGCAAAATCCTCTGCTGCACCCAGGTCATGCCTTGCATTGCCAGGGGTGCTCTGACTCCCAGTCTCGCGGCTGGGAATCCCAGGCAATGACCTGATCTGTAGCACAAGGTCCTCCAAGAAGCCTCGAGTTGACCTGTAATTAGGGAGAGGCATGTCTCTGTCAGCTGTCTGTCTTTCACTGCTTCCCACATGCTGTCGGCCTGAGGAGGGGGCTCTGCAGGTAACCCCAGTGCTGGCTCCCCTTTGCTGCCCGCGCCGTGGTGCAGTTAATGGTCATTTTGTGGCCGAACGACTGGTGAGCTGGCCCTTTGGTTGTATATTTGGGGTGGCTGGCATGGCATATGCATGGAAAAAACTATTTTTTTTGAGTGTAAAGGTCTGTTTCCTTTTTTGAGCTTTTGGTATTGCAAAATAATAATAATTTTAGAATATTATTAAAAGTTTATTTTAAATTTTGGTTTGTAGTGCTTTAGCTATGTCCTTTTACACTAAATCGGTAAAAATCCATATATTCTTGGAACAAATAAATAAGCAGAGCTTTGCTTGCATTGATAGCTCTCAGTGGGCTCAAATGTGTTGCAATCAAAATATGAGGTGTAAAAATGAATTAGAACCATATTTATCCGAGTCGATAAAGGCAGCAGTAATCAGTCCTATGGAACTGAATGGCTGTTGAAATTCAATCCTATAGGTTTGAATTTGGACAGCTCATTTGGTATAGATTATAGTGTTTAAAACAACGTGGAGTCTTTTGTAATTAGTTAATGAATAGAGTTGTTTGGGATTTTTGTGCAAGTCAGTGTTGACTTCAGCAGAGGCAGACATTCAAAGGCTGCCTCTTACACTTGGGTTTTTAAGGCAAGCAGTTGGCCAGGCTGGAGAGGGAAATTCAAACAGCGATTTGAGATGAGAGATGTTTTTGTTGCCCTCTTACTAACAGAAAGAAATCTTTCTTGCATCGTGACTGCCTACAGTAGTAGTTTGAGATTAAACTTTGTTTTTCAAGTATCGGTTTGATTTTAAGAATTTCTGGATTAAACAAGGTATGCAGCATTTGGGGCATATACAGATTTTTTATGCTTGCAAGTGTAGTGAGGTTTCCTGTGTTTATTCCTATTTTCTGCTAATTGGTGCATGATAATTATTGCCTTCACCTTTTAC